TAACTTTAAGTCTGATAACTGTAAAATATACGTACATATACGTATTTGAATAAATGCTTATTTATTTGTGAGTATAAGTTCTAGGCCTTTCAAAAGATCTTTGTTTTTTTTATTAATCACAATTAATTGTGGAGACTATTTTTTATAATTTATCATTTTATTCTGATTTATTTGACTCATTTAGCTCAATAGAGACACATAACATAACATATTACAGGAGATGAGATAGATGTTAGGCAAAGGGTGAGGGGATATGCTGCCTCTTGCTGTTTTGTTTTTCTTTAAACAAGTGCTATTCAAATATATACATTCACTTTAAGTCAGACAGAGAAGCTGTGTGTTTGTGATATCACTGTAAAGCCTGTTTGTATCCTTCTGTGTGCTGTGAGATCACCGACTGTCACACATGAGAGCAGATGAAAATGAAGCATGAAGAATGATTATCTGTGGAAACAAACCACTTTTCTGGAACTCAGCTACTCAAATATTGACTTTTTGTTGATTAAGTACAGACATATTTAACCAAAATTATTTCTTCATGCAATGCCCTCTCATGCCGTTGCATGTAAACTATGAACAGGTCTGGGTAGACACTATCAAAAGACATCTCTGGAGTACGTGGGGTCCAGTTGGGTAGTAAAGAAACGCCAGGCAGATTTAACTCCAGCCCATTTCCTTTTTCCTGTTTAGAGAGCTTCTCTGGTCACTGTTCTTTCTTTCTGCACAGTTCTGTGTGCAGGATGTTTTTCCTTAAAACGAAACTTCACAAAGTCCAGATACAAACACAACACCCACACTCTGAACTTACCATGGAGACAGAAAGAAACCAGAGAAAATACAATAAGACACATGCTTAAACATACTTGTAAAGATGATAAGCAAATTGTACAACTAATTAAAGGGATATTTTCAGGACCCCACAAGCTAACGCTACTCAAACTCTTAAATTTAGACATCAATCAAAAATAATACTCTTTCAACGCTTGTTATCAAGTAAGTGTTTGTTTAGCGCAGCATCTGGGAGCCAACATCCAAACACAACAGGCCTTCCCTCACTCAGTAGGTCACTCTGCCCATAGCTAAACTGGGGCTAGTGATTAGCCTATTATACTGTCCCAGCTCACATGCATTTTTATTTTTATAAAAATGTAATCCACAGCTGTTATCAGTTAGTTAGCTCTCGTTGGACCAATTCACTACATAAATGGATAGTTTGATAGCCTTCCCTCATGTCCTAAGGTCTCCTTGCTCTGCTTTCCAGTCATTTGTTTGTACGAAATAAAATATTAATTATTCCTCCTGTTATTACAGTATTTGTGCTACACATTTGGAAATGGTAAATATTCAGGACAAACAAGATTTTTATCTAGCTTTAAATTATTTTTTCTTTTCCCCAAATTGAAAGATTATTTGAAGTGAGTCAGAGTTGTAATTGCTAATGAATAAATAAAATATCTTCATTTTTTATTATTATTGTCATTAGCAAACTGTGCCAGTCAAACTACTTGATCAGTAAAGCACTGCGATGACATCTGGTCACTGAGCTTTGTGTTGCAACAGATGGGTTTTTGTTAGATATATTGAGCAATAGACTGTTGAGTTGCTGCAGTCATCAGTTCCACCATCACCTACACAGTGACTCACCATGTTGTGCTCATTGATTTCTTTTACAGAAAGGTCAGCTTTATAACTAAGGTGATGTGAAACTTCATGCCGCCTCTGCTTCTGTCTTTCCCTCACATCAGTGACAAGGAAGCTCTACACACAGAGGCTTCTCATCCAAACCTGTGGTTTCCTGCAGTACAGCTCACCACAAAGGGCTCCTTCCCTGATTGTTACAGCAGGCACACTTCATATCACTGCTGACATTTTTCTACCCTTATCACATTCAGACATCTTCCACCTCGCCCCGGACACACGCTTTTCTCCACAATAAAAGCATCACACATGAAAGGTAAATCACGTGCCCACTGTTTCTCTGCCAACCTCTTCACACTTCACACACACATCACACACCAACATCTAAATAGCTTTTCCTCCTATTTGCAGTCCCCTTTGTGACCTGCATTACCTTACACAGAGTATTACGGTACATCTTATAGCATTTAAAAGCTGCTGTACTGTCAAAAGTATTTTTTCAAATCTTTCAAAAATGCACACAGATAATGTTTGGCTATGTAGAACACAACATGCTGCAAAGGTTAAATTTATCACAATCATCCACTGAGCAAGGTAACATCTAAAGCAGCCATGTGCTGCTGTAGTTTAAGGTTCTGCTGGAGTCCGAAGCCAAAAAACTTCAGTTTCTTTCTTGGCCACAGATAAAATTCCCACAACTCACACATCCGCTGCCAGCAGCGTCTACTTGTTCCATTGAACACATGTTGAAATTCATTCCTAAACATGAGAATCGAAGCCTCTCAAAGGGCCCTATACGAAAGATCCTGTTAACATTACTAAGTCAAGAGCCTTCCTTCATTTATGCCCGTGGGTAAATTGGGGGTGTACCTGCCCCCATGCACAGGATCATGGTTTTGCTATCAGGAGCAACTGAGCGAGGAGCAATGTACTGTCCAGAAATGATTGACCAACAACACTACATTTGAGGGACTGTAGGGTACGCCAACAAAAAGGTAACATATCGACAGACTTCCAATCAGAAATGTACTGGGAGTAGAATTAAATCTCAGTTGAAAGAGTATGTAAGAAGAATATAAGATTTCAGTGGTCAATTAGCAGTAGTATAATTAATGGCTGATTCATTTGAGTGCAGAGCCCTGCTCCTCTGGGGAGCTGATACTTCCAAGGTCAAAATCACACCCTATTTTGAAACACACACCACCAATGTAAGAACTTGACTTTACTACTTTAGTATTTGACTTACGACTTTACTGTTAGGGCAGTAATAAAAAAAACAACCTTAAACCTTAAGAAAACTATTGACATTCTGTAGTTTACGATAACAATAGTTCCCCTCCTTTTATTAACTTAACAATTGCCAGACCTTCTCCTTTCTCCTAAAGTCACCCCTATCTTTAAAGCCAGCTCAATGAGAAACTTTGGAACACAGCAAAATTAGATCAATTATGTTTTCTATAAGCAGGGGAAT